ATATTCTACAAATTGTAGCATATGATGTTTTATGTTAAATAGGTATCATAACATCCTATTAATCAGTTCCCAAGTGAGTAATACAAATATTGTTTGATATGTTTACTTTTGCTAACAGCACTGCAGTGAATAGTTAGTTTGTACAGACAGGAGTAAACCTGTGGGCACATTTTTAGAATTTTGTTAAGTGATATGTGCAAATGTAATTTTGATAGATTTTTATTAAATTAATTTAGCTTTCCACTGAGATTCTGCCAGTCTGTTGTTATCTATCAGCAATGTTAGTATGTTTCTATATAACATCACCAGGAGAATGATTACCAAGCCTTTGATCTTTGTCAGTCTGATACATGAAAAGTGATATTTTGGTATAGTCTTAATTGTCATTTCTCTTATTAATGTAAGGTTGGGCACAATTTAAGATGCATTTGTGAGGGTTTTTTTTTTTTTTTGGTTCATTTTTGTGTCATGTTTGCTGTTTGCTTATTTATAGGACTGTTTTGTTTATTTTTATTGATAAATGTTAGATGTGTATATTTTCAGGGGACATGTGATAATTGCATACATTAATATAACCAAATTGGAGTTACTGGGATATTGTTTTACTTTATGCTTTTTAAAAATTTAGTTTTTTTTTTTTTTTTAAACTAAAATATACATTTTCATAATTTAACTAAATGATTCTACAAGACTTGGTGGTTTCTGCACTTTTCTTCTTGGAGAACTTTCTTCTGAAACAACCATTTTGAACTTTTTTTTTTTTTTTTGTTATGGAGTCTCACTCTTGCCCAAGTTGGAGTTCAGTGGTGTGACCTTGGCTCACTTCAAGCTCCGCCTCCCAGGTTCATGCCATTCTGGCGCCTCAGCCTCCCGAGTAGCTGGGACTACAGTTGCCTGTCACCACTCCCGGCTAATTTTGTTTTTGTATTTTTAGTAGAGACGGGTTTTCACCGTGTTATCCAGGATGGTCTCAATCTCCTGACCTCATGATCTGCCTGCCTCGGCCTCCCAAAGTGCTGGGATTACAGGCGTGAGCCACCGCGCCCGGCCTATTTTGAACCCTTAACATCTGATTCTTTTGGAATTTATCTTCGTATCTCTAAATAATGTGCTTCTGGTACTGCTTTTTGATTTTTCAATTCTGGGAATTATCTATTGATCTCCCATTTTGGAAGGTGAGAAGGGTGAGAAGTAGGTTCTTTCACTTACCCCCATTACACGTACACACGACAACCCCCACCAACACATTCTCTCTCTTAATCTTTACACTCAAGATTACTTACTAAGCAAGTAATTGTTTTAAAGAAAGTAGTATAGTAGAGGGCATTTGTGAAATAAATGTTTGGAAATGATTTAATGATTTCATGATTTTTGTTGGTGGAAAAAAGATAATCTTTATTACACTGTCAAATTTGCATTATATTGTCTGGGAACACTCATACGTTTGCACCAAGGTTGTTCAAAAGAGCATTGTACATTAAAGAAAAAATGAGAAATATCTTGAATGTTAATTGATAGTAGAATGGATGATACGCACGTACAAGGGAATACAGTGAATGAGCTACAACTCTGCATCAATGTAGATGAATCTCAGAAATACAATGTTGCCCAGGAAAAATAAATATTAACATAATAGTACATACTGCACTTTGTATCATTGAAAAGTGCCAAATCTATAAAACAGAACAACCACACATTAATATAGTTAAACTACAAGGGATACTAATTACAAAATTCAGGATTGTGACCACCTTGGGACAGAGAGGGGTATGATTGGAGAGAGAGGCTAAGTAGTAGGCTTTATAATGTTCTAGTTCTTAAACAGTGTGGTTGGATGCATGTTTGTTTTATTTCTCCTTAACTATATAAACACATTAAACTCTTACATGTGTGATAGTTTATAATATTTAAAAAATAAAATCATTATGGGACAACCCCAGATTTAAAATGAGATCAATGTGGAACTTTAAAAAAAAAATTACCAATTTGCAAAATAATGGAATTAGTGATTCAGCCAGAAGGTGTGCTGGTGACATATGCTTAGTCAATTAGGTGCCCGTTCCCAGCACTTCCCAGGACTCTGCGTCTTGAGCAAGTGACTTTCAGAGAGAAAACCAAATGTAGGAGTCTTTACAAAGATGAGCAGTAGGTAAGCAAAGCCATTGTTGGTGTAACCTTCATTCGGTTTTGCAGCCTAGCCTCAGGGGCTCTTTTGTTTCCTGATGGTTTTCCAGTTGGCCTTCCAGGCTCCCTCCCATTCTTAGAGACCCTAATAGCTTTCTATTGAAGACCCCACCTTCCTTATCTCCTTTATTTTATTTTAAAAAAATGTTTAAAAGTTCTAGGGTACATGTACAGAATGTGCAGTTTTGTTACATAGGTATACACATGCCATGGTGGTTTGCTGCACCCATCAACCCGTCACCTACATTAGGTATTTCTCCTAATGCTATCCCTCCCCAGATGAAAAACAAATTTGGAAATTGAAATTTCTAAACTTTTAAAAAAACTTCTGAATGAAGAGTTCTTGTGGATTTTGAACCTGCTTGTTAAAGTGTAAAAGAGCAGTACCTTAATTGCAGAAGCATCAGGAAAGATGAAAACTGCAACAAAACTTTTTTCCATAATTGATAGATGGGATTGAAAAGTGATTTAAGGCGGGGCACAATGGCTCACGCCTGTAATCCCAGCACTTTGGGAGGCTGAGGCAGGCAGATCACTGGGGGTCAGGGGTTTGAGACCAGCCTGGGCAACATGGTGAAACCCCTTCTCTATTAAAAAATACAAAAATGAATTTGGCCAGGCGCGGTGGCTCATGCCTGTAATCCCGGCACTGAGGCAGGTGGATCACAAGGTCAGGAGTTTGAGACCAGCCTGGCAAATATGGTGAAACCCCATCTCTACTGAAAATACAAAAATCAGCTGGGCGTGGCAGCGGATGCCTGTAGTCCCAGCTACTTGGGAGGCTGAGGCAGGAGAATCACTGGAACCCGGGAAGTGGAGGTCGCAGGGAGCCAAGATCTCACCACTGCACTCCAGCCTGGGTGATAGAGCGAGATTCCATCTCAAAAAAAAAAAAAAAAAAAAAAAAAGAGCTGGGTTTGGTGGCATGTGCCTGTAGATCTGTAGATCTCAAAAAAAAAAAAAAAAAAAAAAAAAAAAAAAAAAGCCGGGTATGGTGGCATTTGCCTGTAGTCCCAGCCACTTGGGTGGCTGAAGCAGGAGAATCGCTTGTGAACCTGAGAGGCAGAGGTTGCAGTGAGATGACATCACTCGACAGAGCGAGACTCCACCCCCACCAAGAAAAAAAGAAAGAAAAGTGACTTAATAAATACAGCCAACAATTCTGTTTCATTTTCATTTAAGTATCTTTTAAAGTTGTCTTTTCAGATGAAATAGCCTATACAAGCAAGCATATAAAAATGTACTTAGATCTAGGCTTTAAAATCTTTGTATCACAGAGAATTAAACCAGCACGTTCAAAAGTAATCAAGCATATTCTGTTACATTGCTCTCAGTACAAAATGCGACATTCTGCTGATAGAATGAAAAATAATTTTTACATGATTTTAATCTTATCCTTTCAGGACTCCTTTTCAATAAATACATTTGTAATTTATTAATACAGTATTATATATAACCCAGGAAAATTATAAAACTGATATATAACTTATAAATATTTACATATATACATTGAGTGGTTCATCAGATTTTTTAAAATGGGGATATGTAATTTTATTTTAAAGTTCAGTAATGATCATACCTGGAAAAAATCTCACAAAGATACCTAGACCTGGATGGAGGTAAATTGATGTAGACCAGTGTCTCTCAAAACCTTAAATCACCAACATGCTTTTTTGATGATTCCATCTAAGATCTATTGAAAATAATCCTTAGGTGTGGGAATAGGGCTATGGAGTCTGCATTTTGAGCAGCCATAAGAGCAAACATTTTATGGTGTTTATTGTGTTTTAAGTGCTGTTTTAAGCACTTTACATTGACTCATTCTTCACAGCATCCCTATGAGGTATAGGTACAGGTGACTAAGAAATTTGCCCAAGGTCACCTAGTTAAGAGTGTAGGGTCAGCATTGTATGTAGAAAACATACCAGATAATTTTTTTGCATACTTTTGGGAACCATTACTCTAGTCTAAGTCATTTGAAATTGAGAAAGCTTTATTCAATAAAATAGTAAAGTTGGGTAGGTGGGGAGAGGGTGATGCATAGTAGTACTTTCCAGTTCTGAAGATTTTAAGTCTTTGTCAGTCAACACTGGGTAGCTACTTCATGGATTATAAGTTCAGCAATGTGAAGTCATTTTTTAGCACCATGTTAAAGGTATGTTTTTAACAGAATCCAAGTAATGATATGGTTTTCAGTTTTGTAGATACATAGTAAAAGTGGTAAAACCAAATGTGTGTAGAATGGAGATTTTTATGTTTTAATTGAATTTTGAGGTTGTCTTCAGGTTCACTGGGAGGAGAAATCTTGATTTCAATACTTGCTTTTGAACGTCTTCTAAAATATATTAGCATATCTTTTTACCTTGATTTATTGAACAAGATGACTCACTGTTTTGAATATTCTCATTGTCCAGTGTTCTATAAACTTACATGTTGAACCCTGGACTCACCTTGTAAATTAAATCAGAAGAAAATTATTAACAAAGTTTTATTTCTTGTTTTTCCTTTCTCCTAGAACAGCGGTCTCAACGTGGCTGCACATACAAGTCACCAGAGAGGCTTTTAAAAGATGATACCTGTGTCCCGTCCCTAGGGTTTCTGATTTAATTAGTCTGATTATTCTTATGTGCTAGGGCTGAGAAACCACTGTTCTGTAGGATGTAGGGGAGGAAATTTGTTGGGCTTTTGCTGTTGTTCCTGTAAATTAGAATAATACTAAAAAAAATCGAGATAGGAGTTACTAGACTATAGAGGGAATATTGTAGATACACTTTCTGTCAAATTTAAACATTTAACACCTGCATTTTTTTTTCCAGATTTATTGCTAAACATGGGTGCATTTTTGGATAAACCCAAAACTGAAAAACATAATGCTCATGGTGCTGGGAATGGTTTACGTTATGGCCTGAGCAGCATGCAAGGATGGAGAGTGGAAATGGAAGATGCACACACAGCTGTTGTAGGTATTCCTCACGGCTTGGAAGACTGGTCATTTTTTGCAGTTTATGATGGTCATGCTGGATCCCGAGTGGCAAATTACTGCTCAACACATTTATTAGAACACATCACTACTAACGAAGACTTTAGGGCAGCTGGAAAATCAGGATCTGCTCTTGAGCTTTCAGTGGAAAATGTTAAGAATGGTATCAGAACTGGATTTTTGAAAATTGATGAATACATGCGTAACTTTTCAGACCTCAGAAATGGGATGGACAGGAGTGGTTCAACTGCAGTGGGAGTTATGATTTCACCTAAGCATATCTACTTTATCAACTGTGGTGATTCACGTGCTGTTCTGTATAGGAATGGACAAGTCTGCTTTTCTACCCAGGATCACAAACCTTGCAATCCAAGGGAAAAGGAGCGAATCCAAAATGCAGGAGGCAGCGTGATGATACAGCGTGTTAATGGTTCATTAGCAGTGTCTCGTGCTCTGGGGGACTATGATTACAAGTGTGTTGATGGCAAGGGCCCGACAGAACAACTTGTTTCTCCAGAGCCTGAGGTTTATGAAATTTTAAGAGCAGAAGAGGATGAATTTATCATCTTGGCTTGTGATGGGATCTGGGATGTTATGAGTAATGAGGAACTCTGTGAATTTGTTAAATCTAGGCTTGAGGTATCTGATGACCTGGAAAATGTGTGCAATTGGGTAGTGGACACTTGTTTACATAAGGTATGTAAATTTTTTTGTCATTAAAATAACATGTTAATTTTGAAAAGGTACAGTGGGTAAAGTTAAGCAAACTTAAAATTTTAAAACTTAATATTTTCATAGAAGCTGTATGTTTTGAAATACTGTCTTTACCAGAAGTGAAACCATTGTTTTCTTTGCCATCCCTGTCTGTCCCAACCTTCTAATTTGAAAATTAAGCTTCATAAATTTGAGGCATTTGTTGTCATTTAAGTACTTTATGGCTTGTTGCTGTAGCAGAAGCATTTACACAGAATTGTGACTGTTTCTTGACATTGGCAGTAACCATCTTACGCCTGATTATGAAGCAGCTTGATAAAATATGTATATAGTAGAATTCTGTACTAGATATTACTAAAAGATCAAGAGCCATGTAAAATATTGGCAGATGTACTAGATGCCTAGCCTATATAAAATTTAGTTCTGAGTCTTCTAGCGGTGAAGACAGAAACTGAAATTAAAATATGGGTTGTATATTTCTCATTGTCTTCTAAAAGCAGCTCTTACCTGGCAGTACAATCTAAAAAGGATTTACATGTGGCTCTCTAAGTAATACATGACTTGATGGATACTATCTTTTGTAGAAGACAAAATTCTTTTCATATAGATGTTTGTATTATTTCTGATTAAAAACCAAAGGCTCATATAAAATGTAATCTTGTGAAAAATTCCTGTGGAACACTGAAGTTTATTTAGATTTGTAATTTTCTATGAATCATTTGCTTGATACAGTAATAGAAAAAAAGTCCAGAGTAATAGATAATTGGCAGTCCTTTGAATGTCTTTAAAATACTCAGTTGTTTCAAGTGGGTTTTTGACAGCATCTATATATAATTCAATTAAAATTTGAGTTATCTGGCCAGAGTGTCTGGAGTAAGTATTCTCTAACAAAAGATATCAAGATAAAACTGACCTTTAGTTATATGAAATAAATAAAGGATTTGACTTATTTATTCTGTCTAGATTAGAACCATTCTATCTCCCTACTCCAAAATTTACTGTGGAAGGTAAGGGCATAACCAGACAGTTTTTCAGAAAGGATCTCTGGGTCTCTGGAAATGCCCAGATTTTGGTTAAATACCGATTTATTTTTAATAGAATGGAAAGAGACAGTTTCAAAAACAAAAAATTTAAAAGCTGTTCTTGTCAGTGGACAGCCTTTTTCTGAAAGAATTTTAATGATGGTACCTCTAGCTCCTCTGATTTTTATTTTTAACACACTGTATCTTTTTACTTCTGGATGAGTTAAGTAAAGAAGTATCGATGGTTGTTGGTGATCAAATAGTAAGTGGGTCTAAAATTAATATATTTGTCTTTGAAATCTAAATGAAGCGATTCTGACCTGTAGATTTTTGAGACAAGCATAGGCGTATGTTTGTTGCCTAACTGATGAAAACAGCGTTTTCCCCAATTATATATATATATCAAGTCTATACTTATTATTGGGAAAAAAATCCAGATGATACAAAAAATATAAACAAACACTCAAAATTTTGCCATTCACCTAAGTCAGCTACTTTGATTGCTGCGGTGTATATCTTTCCAGTCTTTTCTGCCTGCCTGTGAGTGTGTGTATTTTTATAAAACCGAGGTGATTATACTTGTTATTCTACAGCCTGCCTTTTCCAACAATATATTGTAGAGAGATCTCCATGCCTATAAGTATTGATCTGTATAATTTTTCTTGACTGCATAGTATTTTATTGAAAGAATGTGGTTGTGAGGGAATAGCCAAAAAATCTATTAGGTCTGTAATTTGGACTAAGGAAAGAAGTTTGTATTAGTAGATTAACTCTTATCCATTGAAAGGATGCTAGTTTTTGAGAATTTTGACTCAACCCTTTTGAATGAGGTTTAAATATTTCTGGTGGTATATCTTCACTTGATAGCTTTTATCAATTTAGAGTGATTAAATGGTCATGTTGATGATGTTAAAAGATTCTAGATGGCATCCTAGAATCTCAGAAATGAGGAATGATAATAACAGACAAGAGGTTGGGGCCCATGATTCATTCAGTGTTAATGGAAGCTGACCATCATAGTTCCTTCTAATGGAGCTGCATTCAAATTGAGATCAGTTTGGAGGTTTGAGTTGAAACAAAACAGACTTAAAATTATTTTTGAACTATTGAAAGTTACTTATGACAACCTTCATTTCTGTTTAACTTCATAATTTTGTCTTTCCATTTATTTGTATTGTAAAAGCAAGGGTTAGCAATAAGATCAAATATAATTACTTTGAATTTATTCAGAAAAATTGTAAGTTAAAAATTCATGGAAAGCACTTAGCGATTGCTCAGTAGTTACCTGCTTTAAGAGGAGCGGAAACATTAATAAGTAGATGTTTCCCTGATAAGAGATTTAAATGAAGTCTTAGTTCTTTCAAACATTTCCATCACTTGTCATACCTTCATAATTTATAAGTACTTTCATCTTAACTCATTAAATCGTGGGAGGTTATCATAATCATAATCATGATAGTATTAGTAAATTGTTGCTTTCTGTAAGCCAAACGCTGTTCTAAATATTTTACACATTTTAACTCATGTAATTTTCACAACCATATGAGGTAGTCAGGATCGTGAGGTCAGGAGATAGAGGCCATCCTGGTTAACACGGTGAAACCCTGTCTCTACTAAAAAATAGAAAAAATTGTCCGGGGCCGGGCGCGGTGGCTCAAGCCTGTAATCCCAGCACTTTGGGAGGCCGAGACGGGCGGATCACGAGGTCAGATGATCGAGACCATCCTGGCTAACACGGTGAAACCCCGTCTCTACTAAAAAATACAAAAAAACTAGCCGGGCGAGGTGGCGGGCGCCTGTAGTCCCAGCTACTCGGGAGGCTGAGGCAGGAGAATGGCGTAAACCCAGAACGCGGAGCTTGCAGTGAGCTGAGATTGCGCCACTACACTCCAGCCTGGGTGACAGAGCGAGACTCCGGCTCAAAAAAAACAAAAAAAAAAACATTTTTCAGGGTTGCCAATTAATATTAAGCTGTAAGTGTTGGCTTGGTGAGGTATTATCCTATTTAAATTAGGTATTTAACTCGAGGGGAGAATGGTAGCTAAGAAAGCAGCCCTCATTTTATTTCCAATGCTGGCATTTATGGTGTTTACTGCCAACTAACTTCGAGTTATATAGAATATGTAACTGCTACTTGCATAGCTTTTCATAACTTGTAAATTATATGTACTTATTAATCCTCATAGTAACTTTCTGAGGTGAACAAAATAAAAGTTTTTATTTTTCAATTTGCAAGTAAGGAAATGGAGGTTGTTTGATATTAAAAGATATCCATAAGTCATATACTTGATGAGTATTGAGGCTGAGACTAGTTTTCTGACTCAAGTTTAGTATTTTTGTTAGCAATATTTCCCAGAAGGGTCTGACAAAGATGTGTGTGTGTGTGTGTGTGTGTGTGTGTGTGTGTATGTGTGTGTGTGTATGTGTATGTCTGTGTGTGTGTGTCTGTCTCGGTTTTCATAGTCTGAAAAATTTTTCCCCAAGGGAAACATTGAGACTAAATATTTTTTTTGTAACAAATACAAAGATGTTTGAAGTAAAGTGATTCCCCTTGATGTTTCTGCTTTCCAGTCTCATCCCCCTTAGGGAACCACTGCTTATGGTTTGCTGTGTATCTTTCCAAATAGTTCTCTGTGATTATTGATAGAAATGTATAAACATAAAATAGGATTTTCTTTTTTTCTGTTTTACTGAAAAAAATCATGCTATGCTTGTTACTTTGTCATCTGCTTTGTTTTTCTTAAATCATAGAAGTCAGTATTCTTTTAAATTGTTCTTTTAAAATATTATTTGATTTTCCAAAATTTCATTTATATACTATCTACCAGAAGCCTATTTATTTTAAAACATGAGATAATACCTCATAGTTGGATAAAATTGAGGGAATTATTATTTTCCAAAGGCAATATCATTCTGTAATAATTTATATAACAGAAAATGTAATCCCCTCAGTAATGGTTTAGTTCTAAACTCAGGAGAATTGCTTGAACTGAGATCATGCCATTGCACTCCAGCCTGGGCGACAGAGTGAGACTCTGTCTCAAAAAACAAAAACAAACAAAAAACTATATCAGATTATTTTCTGTTTAAGTTTAGATGCCCTTATTTATGGCAGGGGCACTGACTTCTTTGATCTAGTACTGTAATTATTGAGCGTGTTAACCGCTGTGCTGTTGTAAAAAGTAAAAAGAACATGTAATGAAATAATCAATTTTTATATGCAGAGCTAATTTCTTTAGTTATCCAAACTGGATTTAGAAAAAAAAAACCATGTTTTATTTATGGACTTAGTGAAAACTTTATACTGGTTATACAAGGATGATTTGTCTCTAAAAAACAGAGTGGCACAAAGGAAAGGACCTTTTCTGTTGCTGTATAACAGCTACTGAAACATATTCATACTTGGTGTTTAGGGGAAAGCCATCTTTACCATAGAAATAGAAGTAAGCCAGGCAAGGTGGCTAAGAAGCAACATCATTGAAATCACACATGCCTGAGGTGTAAATACAAATTATTTGCCTTAAATATCTTTGGAGAGCCATAAACTTATTGGAACTCTCTTTTTTTTTTTTTTTTTTTGAGACGGAGTCTCGCTCTGTCGCCCAGGCTGGAGTGCAGTGGCGCGAACTCGGCTCACTGCAAGCTCCGCCTCCCGGGTTCACGCCATTCTCCTGCCTCAGCCTCCCGAGTAGCTGGGACTACAGGCGCCCACAACCGCGCCCGGCTAATTTTTTGTATTTTTAGTAGAGACGGGGTTTCACCGTGGTCTCGATCTCCTGACCTTGTGATCCGCCCGCCTCGGCCTCCCAAAGTGCTGGGATTACAGGCGTGAGCCACCGCGCCCGGCGGAACTCTCTTTCAATTAATTTTCCAGAAGTATCTGTATTTTATAACTTACAAAAATCTAATGGAAATTAGATAAGGAAATGTTCAAGAATGCTCACGTTGTTGTTACCAAAACTAAAAAGGGTTAAAGAAATTAGATTTCTAAAAGTGCAAGGCATTAATTCTGTTTATTCATAAAATTGCTTTATAAAATGTAATTATGCTTGATTCTTTTTTGTTGTTGTTTTGTTTTAGAAATGGGTGTCTCACTATGTTGCCCGGGCTAGTCTCAAACTCCTGGCTTCAAATGATCCTCCTGCCTCTGCCTCCCAAACTGCTGGGATTACAGGCAGCCACCATGTCCAGCTGTTTGATTCTTGAATATCCATGGTGTACTTTAAAATGATTTTTAATTAAAAATTTTTGCTTGACCTGCCCTTATGACATTTATACAAGTATATTCATATAACCAAATACATACAGTATTTCTAATATAAAAGTTTTGGTGGATTTCATTAAGGAATGAGATTAATTTGGCCAATTTGGAAATTCTTGGTTTTCCAGATAACCGGTACTCTAATGAAATATACTCTTGTTGGTTCCTTCTTCCAAAGCACAACAATCTGTGGCAAGTTAATTTATTTTGAAGTCTTCTGAAGACCCAACCTTCACTGCCTTCAGACTCTACTCCCATTGAATTAGGAGGTGAAGGCAGAAGTTATTCAAGGCCACCTGTCTTTTGGGCTGTGTCATGTAGGTTCTGAAAGGCACAAGTCTGAACCAAGCCATGCCTGCCTAGATTCTGACCATAATAACTGAAAAGACTAGAATGGGTGTGGTCTTGGTTTCTTTCACTTGAGGTGGCAAATTTGGCAAACTCCACTGTCAGACAAAATAGCCTACCACCTCCATTGACTTAGTTTTTTAGAGTGAACAGAAAAAGTTTTTTAAAAAAAATGCATTGTTCTAAGAAGAGTTTCATCTGTTCCTGCTCTTAGAAACTCAGTTAAAGTAATATACCTTTAGAAAAAGTAATGAGAAGATAGTTTTAATTTATTGCACACAATCTCATGGTACTAGAGTAGTATGTGCTTGCTTTCTTTTTTTTATTTTTTGAGACAGAGTCTTGCTCTGTTGCCCAGGCTAAAGTGTAGTGGTGTCATCACGGCTCACTGCAGTCTCCACCTCCCAGGCTTAAGTGATCCTTCCACCTCAGCCTCCTGAGTAGCTGGGACCTGGGACTACAGGTGTGCGCCACCAAGCTCAATTTTTGTATTTTCTGTAGAGGTAAGGTTTTGCCATTATGCCCAGGCTAGTCTGGAACTCTTGGGTTCAAATGGTCTGCTCCCCGAGGCCTCCCAAAGTGCTGAGATTACAGCCATGAGCCACAGTGCCTGGTTTTTTGCTTTTTGCTTTTTTTTTTTTTTTTTTTGAGACGGAGACTCACTCTGTCCCCCAGGCTGGAGTACAGGGGCACAATCTCAGCTCATTGCAACCTCCACCTCCCAGGTTCAAGTGATTCTCCTGCCTCAGCCTCCTGAATAGCTGGGATTACAGGCGTGTGCCACCACGCCTGGATAATTTTTGTATTTTTAGTAGAGACAGGGTTTCACCATGTTAATCAGGCTGGTCTTGAATCCCTGACCTTGTGATCCACCCGCCTCAGCCTCCCAAATTGCTGGGATTACAGACGTGAGCCACCCCGCCCGGCCTGTGCTTCCTTTTTAACGCAGGTAATTTGTGAGGGTGTGGTTAAAAGGGAGAAATAAAATATGTCCTTAAATTAGCTATTTTAGCCACTTTGTAAAGACTCTGAAACTATTTGCGACTATACAACAATCTGATGTCTTTTCTTTAAAAGTTATTATATGACTACAGTTGGATCTCAGTTGTCCAGTTATAGTCCACTGTTGCTGTGCCCTTTGAATTGTTTCTTGTATTAATAGTTGTGGGGCTGGGCGTGGTGACTCACGCCTATGAATCCCAGCACTTTGGGAGGCTGAGGTGGGTGGATCACCTGAGGTCAGAAGTTCAAGACCAGCCTGGTCAACATGGTGAAACCCCATCTCTACTAAATATAAAAAAATTAGCCGGACATGGTGGTGGTTGCCTGTAATCCCAGCTACTCAGGAGGCTGAGGCAGGAGAATCGCTTGAACCCGGGAGGCAGAGGTTGCAGTGAGCCAAGATCGTGCCATTGGGCTCCAGCCTGGGCAACAAGAGTGAAATTTTGTCTCAAAAAATAATAATAATTGTTCAGTTTAGCATTTTGGGTATTCCACTGGATAACAAGTTTCAGCTATGTTAAATTCACAGAGTCGTAGCATTGCTCTGATGCAGTTTAAAAGCTAAGCTGGAAAACATTTGCATATGTGTTTGGGAGGATCCATTGTGGACTTAAGCCAGTTTGGGAATAGACAGTTTTGAGTGGGAAATAGTTTAGAAGATTTAATTTGTATTGAAGATATCTTCATTTCTCAGACTGGAATGGTGATGGGAAGAATAGTTCACCAGAATTAAAAATACAAAAATACTTACAGATCTACCCATATATAGATACCTTGTTTCTTCAAGTTGTGTTTTCAGTAGTTCATTGGAATAAAAATGTGTTGAACATAAACGTTCTGGATGATTAAATAAACTATAATTGCTTAAAGTATTTTGAAGTAAATGATAGTTGATAGACTGTAGAAATACAATTTTTTTCTTTTTTTTTCTTTAATATACAGGGAAGTCGAGATAACATGAGTATTGTACTAGTTTGCTTTTCAAATGCTCCCAAGGTCTCAGATGAAGCGGTGAAAAAAGATTCAGAGTTGGATAAGCACTTGGAATCACGGGTTGAAGGTAAGACAGATGCTTTTTAAAAATACAGACAGGCCAGGCATAGTAGCTCATGCCTGTAATCCTAGCACTTTTGTCACCTGGGTAACACAGCAAGACTCTATCTCAAGAAAAAAAAAAAAAATTAGAGAGGGAAAGTATTATTTTTGTTTATCAAATGATTATTTTAAAATTTCCTGGCCAGGCGCGGTGGCTCACACCTGTAATCCCAGCACTTTGGGAGGCTGAGGGCTGAGGCGGGCAGATCACGAGGTTAGATCGACACCATCCTGGCTAACATGGTGAAACCCTGTCTCTACTAAAATACAAAAAATTAGCCGGAAATGGTGGCACGCACCTGTAGTCCCAGCTACTCAGGAGGCTCAGGCAGGAGAATTGCTTGAATCTGGGAGGTGGAGGTTGCAGTGAGCTGAGATCATACCACTGCACTCCAGCCTGGGCGACAGAGCGAGACTCCGTCTCCCCCCACAAAAAAATTACATAGGACAAAGAAGTATTTCAAAACAAGTCCTTGAAAAAACACATCTGTCTAAAATTTACTATCTTGGACCAATGTGTGGAGATTTATTGACAGGGAGAAGACAAATATGTCTGTTTCACCACCAAAGAGAAACATAATTTGAAGGTAGTTGGTTAGAGCTTGCTGGTTTTTTTTTTTTTTTTCCTTCTTTCCCTGCATACATTTCTACTAGTAAGTGGAGAATCCACTGAAATTTCCCTTAACAATATCATGAAAACCAAGTACTCTAATTCCACTAATACTAATTCTCCCTTCCTGGTTTAATTATCATTGGAATTCATTACGGTATCCTTTCCCTTTTATTGATAGAGTTAAGATTAGTGGTTCAAAAGATTATTTTACATATTTTTTTAAACTTCATTTGGCAATAATTTTTTTAGTTTTTTGAGACAGGGTCTTGCTCTTTTTGTTGCTTAAGGCTGGAGTACAGTGGCGTGATCTCGGCTCACTGCAGCCTCAACTCCCTGGGCTCAAGTGATCCTCTCACCTCAGCCTCTCCCAAGTAGCTGGAACTACAGGCATGTGCCACCACAGCTGGCTAGTTTTCTTTATTTTTTGTAGAGATGAGGCTCACTGTGTTTCCCAGGGTGGTCTCAAATTCCTGGACTCAAGCGATCCTCCCACATCGGCCTACCAAACTGCTGGGATTACAGGCGTGGGAGCCACCACACCCAGCCTAATAATTTTAAACATACAGAAAAGTTGCAAAAGTATTACAGGAGCTCCCATGTACATGTAGTATTCTTTACCTAGATTCCTCATTTGTTTATGTAATACCACGTTTGGCGCATCTCTATATATACTTTCTATAACATTCTCATTTTCTCTCTCCCTCCTTCCTTCCCTCTCCCCCTCTCTCTCCTCTTACTCCCCTGCCCCCCCCATGTTACTACCTTTTTCCTGAGCCAAATCAATTGAAAGTTGCAAATGTGATATATCAGTACTCCTTAATAAAACGAAGATTACATAACACTACATAACTGTAGTACATCCATAAAAATTAGGAAATTGGCCTGGCACGGTGGCTCACACCTGTAATCCCAGCACTTTGGGAGGCCAAGGTGGGCGGATCAGGAGGTCAGGAGTTCGAGACCAGGCTGGCCAACATGGTGAAATCCCATCTGTACTAAAAATACAAAAATTAATCAGGCCTAGTAACGGGTGCCTGTAATCCCAGCTACTCGGGAGGCTGAGGTGGGAGAACTGCTTGAACCTGGAAAGCGGAGGTTGCAGTGAGCTGAGATCATGCCACTGCACTCTAACCTGGATGACAGAGCGAGACTCTGTCTTGGGAGGGGAAAAATTAAGGAATTAATGTTGATACAATATTAATATGTAATCCACAGATCTCATTTAAATTTCCCTGATTATCCCAGTAATGTCATATGTAGGTCCAGGTGCAGTCTAGAGCATGTGTGTTGCATTTAGCTATCATGCCTCTTTAGTCTCTCCCTCAATGGAAAAAGTTCTGTAGTCTTTTTTTTATTTCTATGGACCTTTACATTTTTTAAGATGACAGGTTTGTGGAATGTGCAGCTTGGGTTGGCTGATGTTTCCTCTTGATAAGATTTAGGTTATACATTGGCAGGAATACCGTGGAAGTGATTGTAGATTGTTCTCAGTGCATCACAATCAGGGAGGCATGCGATGTTGATTTATAATGTTAACATCTTTTGTGACTTTCTTGGGTTGTTGTGTTTCAGGTTACTTAATTAATAATTATGTTATACCTAATAAGTATTTAATAAATATGTTGTATTTAATAAATATGTTATATTTACTCATAAGTATTCTATGGGGATATACTTTTGAGATTGAGATTGTTAATAACCTATTCTCATTAAGATTTCAGCAGATAGTTTTAGCATCCATTTGTGATTTTTGCCTGAAGAATGATAGCCAACTGGTGATTTTCTGATTTAGTCATTCTTTTTTTTTTTTTGAGATGGAGTTTTGCTGTTGTTGCCCAGGCTGTGGAGTGCAATGGCGTGATCTCAGCTCACCGCAACCTCCGCCTCCCAGGTTCAAGTGACTCTCCTGCCTCACCCTCCTGAGTAGCTGGGATTACAGGCACGTGCCACGATGCCCGGCCAGTTTTGTATTTTTAATAGAGATGGGATTTCTCCATGCTGGTCAGGCTGATCTCAAACTTCCGACCTCAGGTGATCCGCCCAGGTGATCCGCCCACCTTGGCCTCCGAAAGTGCTGGCATTACAGGCATGAACCACCGTGCCTGGCTCAGTCATTCTTTTTATATGTGTTAGCATTTTACTGCAAGGAAAAATTTTCTTTTCTACCTGTTTATTTATATGAGCACAGACTCACAAATTCCTGTTCTATTCATTGTATTATAAACTGTTTCAGCCAATGAGAGCCTCTTAAAACTTGTTGCAGCATCTTTTTGTCCTGCCCGCAACTGTACAGTATTACAGGGTTTATTGTAGTTTTCTCCCTTTTCATATTTATAACTCTCTTCTATCACGGCTAACCTTCATGCGTATGCCTTCCTCACTCCACATTGCCCATCCCTGTAGCCATCCTAAAGCTATGCTTACTGTGGTTAGCCATGAATATCCCATTCTGGACCAATTTGTGGCCACTATTTCCCCCTCCACTCCCTGAAAGATTTGTTTTGCTTAACTAAGCAAATCTAATGGTGTTGGACAAAATTATTCAGGAACGAGAGAAGGGAGAAGCTAGTCTGTTTATCTTTAATGTAATTGCTGGTATGTTTGAGTTTAAATCTGCTGTCTTTCTTGTTTCATCTATTTTTTTTTTTTTAATCCTCCATTCTTCCCTTCTTTTAGATGTATTCCAGTTCATCCTAGGATTTGCTTATTAGTTACACATTCTTTAAAAAATTCCATTTAGTAGGCTGGGCACGGTGGTTCACGCCTGTAATCCCAGCACTTTGGGAGGCCAAGGAGGGCAGATCACGAGGTCAGGAGATCGAGACCGTCCTGGCTAACACGGTGAAACCCCGTCTCTACTAAAAATACAAAAAGAAATTAGCCGGGTGTGGTGGCGGGTGCCTGTAGTCCCAGCTACTTGGGAGGCTGAGGCAGGAGAATGGCATGAACCTGGGAGGTGGGGCTTGCAGTGAGCCGATATCGTGCCACTGCACACTCCAGGCTGGGCGACAGAGCAAGACTCTGTCTGGAAAAAAAAAAAAAAAAAAAAATTCCATTTAGTTAAAAAAAAAATTTAGTGGTTACCCTGATAAATTGAGAATGTATTTTTCAGTCTTAAGGCCCTTTTCTTTTTTACTTTCAACCCTGAGAAGCTAAGTATCATAATCTTAATATAACCTTTTGATTTTATATATGCTGTTTTTAAGATATGAAATTACTTTTTATAAAGTTAGATTGTCAGTCTTTTTTCTTTTCTTTGCGGGAGAACTTTGATATCATACCAAGCTCTTCCACTCAAGGTTATGTAGTTACCTGTATTTTCTCCTAACACTTTTATGTTTTGATTTTTTTTTTTCTTTTTGGGGAGAAAATACATTTGAGTGATATAACTTACGATGATGGTGTAATGGGCTTGTTGAATTTGGCCTGTTGTGAGTCATTTTGTATATAATAGGCCACAGTAATTGGTGAGAGTTTTGAACTGTGAAGATCTGTGATTTCTAATATATAATTACAATTAAAAGTATAAAACCAAGGAGAGTCTTTTGCAAATTTGGAGAATGGGGATTTAGCTTTTCTGTCTCTACAACTATCTAGCTATGCACCCTAAACAATGTGCTTAAAGTTTTTTGTGGGCCTACAATTTCCTCAGCCCTAAATGAATCTTGTTTTTAGGTCTCAGTGCTTTTGAGTCTCAGTGAGTCCTGCTTTGAGGGTGATGGAAACGTGAGAAACATGTAAGAACACATTGAAGATTATGTCAGATACGGTCATATTCCTATTGATAATATTATTAAGAGGAGCTATTTTTATAGGAGTCAATGTTTAATGATAAATTGTAGTACATTGGGGTTGTAGATTGCTGACTATAGTTTATCAGAAGATGGGAGGAATTCTCTTAGTTTCCTTCTTCCTCATTCATAAAGAAACCAGGTAGTTTTTATTTTAGGAAGAACTCTCAAGTTTGGTCAGCTGCCTGTTATGTGATCTTATCCAACTTGCTTAACCCCTCAAGGCTCCAGTTACGTTATTGGAAACTAAAGATAAAAACACCAACCATAGAGGGTTCTTTTTGTTTTTTTGTTTTTTTTTTTTTGATACATAGTCTCGCTGTGTCCCCCAGGCTGGAATGCAGTGGTGCGATCTCGGCTCACTGTAAGCTTCACCTCCCGAGTTCACACCATTCTCCTGCCTCAGCCTCCTAAGTAGCTGGGACTACAGGTGCCCGCCACCACACCCGGCTAATTTCTTTTTGTATTTTTAGTAGAGACAGGGTTTCACCGTGTTAGCCAGGATGGTCTCGATTTCCTGACCTTGTGATCCACCCACCTTGGTCACCCAAAGTGCTGGGATTACAGGCTTGAGCCACCACACCTGGCCCCATAGAGTTTTTTTTTTTTTTTAATAGATTGTTGCAGAAAAAGCTTATTGATGACAATTGTTAAAGATGGTAAGGCAGATATTTTTTTCAGGGGGGCCATGGCAGTAGATATAGGGACCACTATGATAGAATCTTGCAGTGACAGAAAGCAATTAAACTCAACTTGGGGTTCCATAAAGATAAGTGGAATTTATAACAAAGGAGCTGAGTGCTGGAAGGGAGTGTCAGTGGGTGAAAAATTATTACTAAGAGAAAGCATCAACATAAGGAAGGGGTTTCTGGCTAAACTGACTTGATAGGATGGCAGGCCAGGCTGAAATATCCAGAGTGGTCATATACCAAGTATGTGGGGGTTTTCAGTAAACTGACTGAGCAGGATTCTCAGTCAGCCTGGTTTCTACAAGCACAGAGAGGGAGCCCAAAGGTCTCTTAGTCAGAAAGAACTCAAGAGTCTTGCTGAAGGTTTGGTCCAAGGAAAGAGTTTTTGTCAAAATAAATGAGAATTTTGTTTATTAAGCACCTATTATGGTGCCTAGCATGTAAGTCCTCAGCAAACTGTAACTTGTATGAACTCTTAGCTTCTGTAATAGCCACATTTTAATTTCTTAAAGGTGTGGTCAATTCAGTTTAACATGAGTTAATAATATTAATTTTCTTTTGCATAGTTTGTAACTTTCCAAAGTATATATTATATAGGAGAGATAACAAATATGTTATATGATCTCTAGGGCCTGTAGCAAATAGTTATTTTTAATCAGGAAACAAAATTGTTAGCTCGGCAGCCACTACAAATTAAGTTGGTACTTAAAATGTAACTTCACAGTAGCTACACCTATAATCCTTGGGATGCCGAGACAGAAGGATTGCTTGAGACTAGGAGTTCAAGACCAGCCTGGTCATCATAGACCTACAAAAAAGTTTTAAAAAATAGCTGGGCATGTTGGTGCACGCCTGTAGTTCCAGCTGCTGGAAGACTGAAACAGGAGGATCGCTTGAGTTCTAGGAGTTTGGTGTTACAGTGAGCTGTGATGGCACCACTGCACTCCAGCCTGGGCCACAGAGGAAGAACATGTCTTAAAAAAAAAAAAAAGTAACTTTTTATTTATAAAGCAGTGTTCTTCAGGAGCATTGTGTTTCTTCTGGGGTTTTAAATCATGTAATATGACTTTAAATTTTGTGGTAACTTGGTAAATCTGTGTATATGCTTTTAGTGATGACTGGTCAGGTAGGAAAGGAATAATACTAAAATAAACAGGAAATAGTTCACCTAAATTGATGAATTGTATATTTAATGATTGCTTTCTACATATAGATTTACTCAGTGTTTATTGAACACGTGTCACTGAGAATATAGCAGAAAAAGAAATCTCATGGAATTTGTATTCTAGTAAAAACCTATTTTTTTAATAGAGAAATAGAGTAAGCAGAAAGCAGCAAGGAATATTGGTTAGGAATGTCTCTGTGAGGAAGGACATTTGAGCAGAGACCTGCATGGAGAGAGAATATCTGAGGGAAGAACATTCCAGGAAATGAGAACAGCAAAGACTAGGAGGGAATGTTCTTAGTGAGTGTAGCTGGGTTAGAATGAGCCAGTAGAAAACTAGAGGAAGATTAAGAGGTTTGTAGGAGGCATATCATGTAGGGTTCTGTAGACCAAAGTGAGGACTTTGGACTTTATTTGACTTGTGGTGGGAATTCATTGGAAGATTTTGAGTACAAGAGTGATTTGTTCTTTTTTTCCAAATGATCTCTCTTAGTTGCTGTATGGAGAAGAGATTGTATAAAGGGGAAAAGAGAAGGCAAAATACCAATTAGAAATTAAGCGTTAATACATGGTAGTGGTAAATTGGACTAGAGTAGAGGAGTGTGAAAATGCCTGGAGACAGTTTTGGTGTCATAGCTGAGGGGGTGCCACTGGCATCTAGTGAATGGAGGCCAGGGATGCTGCTTGATACTCCACAGCGCACAGGACAGCCTCCACAACAAAAAAATTGTCTGGTGTAAAATGTCAGTGCTGTTGATGTTGAGAAGCCTTATACTATAAGACACAGACTTAAGGTAGAAAACTTAGACCTGCCTGTAATCCTAGCTACTCGGTAGGAAATGTTAAAGTCAATGTAAGGGTCTTGTGAGTCATGGTAAAACAGTTTGGATTTTGTATCTCAAGGGCTGCTGAAGACACTGCCTTTTTTTGTTTTAAAAGTAAGGCCTGGGCTGGGTGCGGTGGCTCACGCCTGTAATCCCAGCACTTTGGGAGGCCGAGGCGGGCGGATCACTTGAGGTTGGGAGTTCGAGACCAGCCTTACCAACGTGGAGAAACCCTGTCTCTACTAAAAATACAAAATTAGCCAGGCGTGGTGGCACATGGCCTGTAATCCCAGCTACTTGGGAGACTGAGGCAGGAGAATCGCTTGAACCCAGGAGGCAGAGGTTGCGGTGAGCCAAGATCGTACCATTGCACTCCAACCTGGGCAACAAGAGTGAAAGTCTGTCTCAAAAAAAAAAAATGCTGTAGAATGTAACTATTTCAGGTAAGTAACAACCTGTAAAAATGATTTTTAATTTCTCCCCTTTTTCTTACAATTCTTATCCAGCTAAACTTTTGTTATCCTTTAGTAATGGCATTCATAACTTTTATATTATTTTTAATATTAGATCAGAAGTATTTTTCCGTATAGCTGTTTCTGTATTCATCGAGACACCTATTACGTAATTTTTAGTGATTATAGACCATTTCACTCAATGGCTACACCAAAGTTTTTTTTAACTGTCCTCTTGTTGCTGAACATTTAGTTTGTTCCAGTTTTTGCTTTTATGAATAATGCTGGAATGAACATATATGTGCAAATAACTGTGTTTTCCTTTTTTTCCCTGCATGACAATGTTTCAGTCAATAAGTAGCTTCTTGTATTACTTTTAAAAAATTTTTTGTGTGCTAATGATAATTTTTTTTAATATATTTTAAAATAGGTACTACCAAATAGTATTCTTGTTTCACTTCTTGGTGAGTACTGGCTTATCACATTAATTTAGGAACTTTTTTTAAAAACCTACAGAGATTATGGAGAAGTCTGGCGAGGAAGGAATGCCTGATCTTGCCCATGTCATGCGCATCTTGTCTGCAGAAAATATCCCAAATTTGCCTCCTGGGGGAGGTCTTGCTGGCAAGTAAGTAGAACAAAAAGAGCTAATTTTGAGTTCGTTTATAATTAGTAATTAAATAATTTGGGGTAAGGAAACTTAAATCAGAAGTACATCAATTATCTAGAGGTGAAATGGGTTAGTGTTTCTTATGCTAGAGAAGAACTCTTAAAACTTCATCCAAAAACGATTTTTTAAAAAATCTATCATACTCTGAGTATGAAGGTCCTTCTTTCCTTGCTAATGAGTACAAATGGATTGTGCAAAATCAGATTCTGAGAGTAAAGTGTAGAAAGTATGTTCTTGACAAGTATAGAGTGTAGCAGTTACTTTTTTAGTGTAGTCAGGATGAAATATTGAGATATTCACAAGCTTAAAATTCTATGTAATCTAATAAAACTAAAGCATGATTTTTTTTTAGGCGCAATGTAATTGAAGCTGTTTATAGTAGACTGAATCCACATAGAGAAAGTGATGGGGTAAGTTTTATTTTATTTCATAAGCATTTGAAGTAATTTCATAATATAAATACTAAATATGAGTACATTTACATTAATGAAGTCTATAATAAATTATAGTCTGTAGTAAATTACTACTGCTTTTCATTTTAAGGTGTCAGTTAAAGTTTAAGAAAATGTATTGAAGGTAGAGATAAAATTTTGTTTTGTGGATAGCTTTGTTGTCACTTTCTGGGCATCAAATGACCTTTTTTATTTGCGCTGTCTTTATTCTCTATATGTCTGCTTTTCCTTCTTCTCCTTTAAACCTTAATTTTGAGGCAAGAATGCTCTTTTAAATATCTCAATTTCTCCTCCAGCAGGCTGCTGCCATCACCAGAAGTTAGCGATAGTGAGTGAGTTATTATTTTATGACCAGACCTTTCAGTACCCCTGTATACCCACTTGGAATACCCGAGGATAGTTTTTTTCTAATATTATTGTTGTGTTATGGGTATATGAGCGTTGAGCTGAGATAACCGTTTCTGTTGTGCCTTGCTGTACTTCATCAGAGCAAGACTCTATGCCCTTACCTTTTATTTTGCTTTCCTTCAAAATGTCAGCGAGCTGCCAGCTGCTGCTCTATGTTGTTTTATTTTGTTTTAGTACTATTACCATGAGACAGAAGTCTCTCTTTTTTTTTTTAATCCAAGTGAGTTCAAATAAGTATTTTTCTCTTGGGTTTTCAAGTTTTTATGTCTAAAAATAAATTACTTAATTTTTAATATATGTGCTTCAAAGCTTTAAGGGAGCCAAACTTAGAAACGAAACTGATTGGGAGCAAGAGCCCCCCTCCAGTCTCCAGCTCCTCTTGGCAGATTGAGAGAGACAGTATCCATTGGCTAGAAATCATATATCATCTCAGTTGTATTATTTGCTAGGATTCATTATTTCATAGCAATATAATATAGTTTCTTTTCCTTAACAGTAAAAGTATCCTGGCAAAAAGGAAAATTTAACAATTAATATAATTTTAGGGAGTCATATAAAAGTGATGCTATATATTGCTAATTATAATTTATATCTTGGTCTAGTGCAGTAATTCTGAGTTTTTTTTTTGTGGCAGGTACCTCAAAGTATTAAGAATTGTACCCAAGGCCGGGCATGGTGGCTCACGCCTGTAATCCCAGCACTTTGGGAGGCCGAGGCGGGCGGATCACCTGAGGTCAGGAGTTTGAGATCAGCCTGACCAACATGGAGAAACCCCGTCTCTACTGAACATACAAAATTAGCCGGGCATGGTGGCGCATGCCTGTAATCCCAGCTACTTGGGAGTCTGAGGCGGGAGAATTGCTTGAACCCGGGAGGCGGAGGTTGTGGTGAGCTGCGATCATTCCATTGCACTCCAGCCTGGGCAACAAGAGCAAAACTCCGTCTCAAAGAAAAAAAAAAAAAAGAATTGACCCAAAGCTGTGAAAATTAATTTAAAAATACAAATATTTTATGTGATCCATCAGAGAACCCTCAAAGAAATGAGTGTAGGATGTTGACATGACTAAAAGGATGGTGGTAATTTGGAAGGTTGAGAGAAGAGAATCTTTCCTTTTCAGCTACATTATAGATTCTACAGGGCATCTACTACCTTGATTAGAGGAAATAAGCCCTCAGAAGACAGTTATTGATTCATTATTAGCCGTAGAAGTACTCCCATTTCCTCAGATGTTTCAAAGTACAACCCTCGTGTGTAATCTTAAAAAACATATATATATACCTTGCTGGATTTTGGGGTCCCTCAAGAAAATAGTCTGTTTTTACTCCAAACAAGGTTTTCTGTTTAACATATACCAAGGGTAACCTAAATTTTTTAAAAAGAAAAAATGATTACACATAGTAGCTACATAAACAGGGAGTAAATAGGCAACGGAACTATGAAACTAGGAGGAAATGCTCAATATATAAACCTTACCTTAAAGAGATTGTTATTTGGCTATAGAAATGGGATATATGTACTTAATTACCTTCATACATAAATGTTCTGTTAATATCAGCAGATCAAATACTGACAGTGTGTCATATAGTGGATTCACAGAGGGAGAAGACTAGAAAACATAAGACATGACCCCACTTGTGTGCTCAGTGCAGCTTACACTGTAGTTATAAACACACCTTAAATGATCAAAATATTTCACATAGCTTAGTAACAAATAAATGACAAAATCCAGAATGTGACCATTGCCATGTGAATTGGACAGTGATTGCTGTGAAAGTTCAGCTAAGTAGGGGGAAAGTCAGCTTAGAGAAAAGATAGGATTTGAAGAATGATTTGAATGGTAGAAATGACATGAGGATGATGATCTTTCAAGTGGACTGGAGAGGCATGGACAAAGTATAAGCTGTCTTCAAAACAAAGGACATCTTTTTTGGCTAAAGCAGAGAACTGCTGTGGTGAAAAATAAGAATTTAGGTTGCAGAGGTATTTGCTAAGAGACCAGCCTTTTGAACATCATTTTAGGGTAATGAACCACCTTATGTTTGGAGCATAAGAATGATAGACTCAAGAAAAATCTGTGGTATTTTAATCTGTTAGAAACATTTACCGTATTAAAGAGATGCAGGCAGTCAGGTAGTTGTGAAATAATTACAGAGACCAAATGGTAACTGTAAACTTATTATCATTACATAGATATATGGATTAAAGGAACTTCCCTTGTTTACTATGAAAACTGACTTTGCAGCCTAGAATTCTAAATGGGGAAATATATGCCTTTCACAATAATCACTAACTTAGAAAAATGTTGAACTATAATTGCAAGTAGCAGAAATGTGCTGAAAAATACCGCAGAAGGAGAAGGAATGAAGAAAATACAGACATGTGATTACATTCTCAGCTCTTAACTTGACCCACTGTAGCAAAAAGCTAGCCACAGAGGTGCTCCATAAATGCTTCTTAACAGTGTGGATGATGTCGCCAGGAGCTGGATATTAACTTGCGGGGTCAGAAAGATGAAAGTATGGTAGAATTACAGAAGAGGAGAAAGTTGGAAGGTATTATAAAAATTAAGTGTTTTTTAAATAACAAAAATTATTTTTGTTTAGATATTTAAACAAAGAATTCTAGCCAGAGTTAAATCGGAGGGTTTTTTTAGGCTCCTGAAATGTCTGCTTTATATCGGAGAGAATTGTTCTGTTGTAAATGATTATAAGTAGTACCACTAGAAATAGGGATTCATTCATTTTTCTTATAATTAAGACAAATCTTTTAAATAAATATTTTTCAGAAAGCAAAGTCAGAAATTAAGTAATTTTAATATATATTCAGAAAGGTTACTATTTAGGGGAAACTTCTTGTTTACTAAATTTGTTTTTTAGTCTGTGTTCCATACTAACCTAACTTTTAAGAATGTGTTCCATCTTCTTACCGCAAGCAATATTGTGGTATTTTCCCAACTTTTAAAATGCAAATTTGTAACAAAGAGTCTAGCAGGGATTCTTAGTCTAGGGATGCACGAATCCCCAGAAATCTTTTGGAAAATCTCCAGCAAAAGCAAAACTACATTTTGCTGCAAGTTGTGTTTATATTAGACAGGGCTCTGGGGTCACACTCCTTCCCTTTTTCTAAAATGCTAGTTTGTGTTTTATAACTAGAATATAAATTTTGTGAGATCTGGGACTTTATCTGATTCATTTATGTCTGTAGTCCAAGCGCTTACAACAATCCTGGCATACTGTGAAAGCTCAGTAAATATTTTTTGAATAGGAAATATTTGTATTTATTCATTTCTAGTAATTTGCTTAAGGCTGTCCTTAAGTCATATATTTAAAAATTAATTTGAGGTTACTAATTGGTATGAAAGTCTGTATTTATAGCGTTTTATATTTTCATGCAAAACGTTCTTCCCTTGAAAAAGACTCATAATGCTTTTGAATTAGTATGCCACTGATCAAGTAGTTGCATAAGTTGGTAATTTTCCAAGGGTAAAGTTGCACAGGGGGGTGACCTGTATTTACCCAGCTCCTACTTGTGCCAAGCCCCTTATTTATACACACACAGAGTCATAGGTAATCGTCTCAGTACCTTTCTTTTACAGATGAGACTTACAGAGATGAGGTAGCTTGCACAGGTCACAAAGCTAAATAAATCATGCAGCCAGAATTTGAATTAGGCTGACTCCAAAACCTGTTCTCTTTACATTATTCCATGTGGCCTTTTTAAGGTAGTTAGAGATTATGTATGTCTGTACCCCACCTTTGTCTACCATCCAGGAAAAATCATTTCCCATTCTTTCGTAAATATGTTTAATAGTCTTAAGATACTCTGTTTTATTGATTGAGACAGGATCTCGTTCTTTGTCCCAAGCTGGAGTGCTATGGCACCATCATGGCTCACTGCAGCCTCAACCTCCCAAGCTCAAGCGATCCTCCCAGCTCAGCCTCCAGAGTAGCTGGGATTACAGGCACACAGCACCACACTTGGCTAATTTTTTGTATTTTTTATAGGGACAGGGTCTCGCTTCATTGCCAGGGCTAGTCTTGAACTCCTGAGCTCAAGTTACCTTCCTACCTCAGCCTCCCAAAGTTCTGGGATTACAGACATGAGCCACTGCACCCAACCACAAGATAATCTGTTTTTAATGGTAAATATTTTATAAAGTTGTTGAAGCAGTCAAGCCCAATTCCTTGTCAGTTATTTTTCATTTAAATACACATATTTATCTTAATCCAAAAATGGTTTAAGGCATTTTGATCTTAGAGAAGGGGAGAAAAAAACAGGACAGATTAGTCTCTTTTTGAGCCCAAAAGAATCTCTGTATTATTTTTACTTTATTAAATTTTGCATGCATTTTTCTGTTTTACTTCAAACAGATAAATGCAATACCCATAACTGCTTTTAGATTTTTATATCACAGTTTTTAGAACTATGTGAATATTAGTTTTTTCATGTTTACTTTTTATTCACTTGTCAAAGCATTGCCATAGAGAAGACCTATACTGTTTGAAAATGCACTAACATTAGTCACTATGTTTTTAGGGTATGATTGATA